TTATACTGAACTTTCCTTTTTAGCACCTCAACAACACAAATTTAAGAACACTACAAGATTGGTAGAGAGGTCTCATCATTTTATATTTGAAATTGATAGATGTAACTGTAAGTTCTATGCTAACACTTGCTTCTTTTGCATTTTTCACATGTGAAACCCCCCTTCTAGCTTCTTGCTTTCCTGTCAACTTTGCAAAATTTTTCAAAAATGTAAAAGTAATTTCCATCATAATCTGTCATCTCCTTGAATCCTGTTCTTCTATTGTCCTCTCTCTTTACTAATAATTTTTCTCAAATGTGGAGTGAGTAGCCATGGTCAAATGCAAATAAGTAACAGAACTGTCCAACAAACAAAATTGACAAAGTTTGCAATAAGCAATTACAAGAAAAGAACAGGGCAAGAAATAATATAAAGCAAGCAAACAATATATGCAAAGCAAATTAACAATATATGTAAAATTAACAGGAATAAGGCAAAGCAACAGTAATATGGCAAAAATTTCACAAAATAAGAATTGGAGTTGACACACAAAAGCAAGTTCAAGACAAGACAGATGGGACCGAGTCAGATGAAATTGAGCATAGACCCATTTTACTTGCTAGAAAAAAAACCCCAGCATGCATTTTTGTGCTTCTGCCTATGAATTGGGGAGGGGCAAGTGTTTTGCAGTCATTCCCAATTAGATTTTAATGAATATTTTCACTTTCAGTAACCCCTTTCATTTTAGTGGCTTTATTGCCACACTTGGGGTGAAATGATTATGTAAAAACTAAATTGAAATCACTAAATACATAATGAAAAATTCTCATTTGAATCTTGTTCAAGAAAGTTTTTCCATCATTGTATGTAGTTTTCTTTCAACTATTTTCAAAATCTTTCTTGTTTTTTGAACATGTGAAAAAAAAAAAAAAATAAGGATGAAGATATTAGTCTAAACCAACAACACACAAAAAAATAAAGGAAATCTCAACAGTACAATATTTTATTTCCAGCTTTTGAATGGATTTAAATTCAGATTTACTTCTGTGTATTCATAATAGTAATAAGAATAATAATATTAATAAATGAAAAAAAAAAAAATTAATTTCTAGTTGAAAGATAAATACAGAAAAAAAGACTCCTTTGATTTAATAAAGAGAATTCAGTATCTGTTTATATTTCTGAGATGAGGTATTATGTACACTATTTACATGGTTCAGACTATTATCCTCATCTTTGTTGCCATATTTATCACAATGTTTCAGCCGTCGTACGCTCCAGCCTTCTCCAGGTGATTGGAATGTCAAACTAAACCCTTTATTTCACTCGCTGGAGTAGACTGTTCTAGTTCCACGTGCCATGTCTAATGGATGTCAGTTATCTCCTGTTAATTCCTCTAAGTTCTCCACTGCTTTGAGGAAACATGTCACAGTGGAAAAAGGTGTTGGTTAAATCCAGTGACTGGACCCAAAGAGTGTGAGTTCAATACCTGGTTAAAACAGTGGAGAACTTGGAAAGGGGAATTAACAGGAGATAACTGATAACTGACATCCATTAGACACGGCACATGGAACTAGAACAGTCTACCCCATATCTAATGTGAAATAAAGGGTTCAGTTTTTTTTCCAACCATTTTGAAGAAATGGAAATAGCCCCCAGTGTTTTTATTGTGATAAATATGGCAACAAAGATGAGGATGATAGTCTGAACAATGTAAATAAAGAGAACTCAGAAGTAAAAGTCCATGAAGATCAAGTGGCATTATTTCCCCAAGTTTCATTATAGGTGGCACAATTTCTTAAGTTCTCACTGTTTTGAAACAGACTACCAGAGTGACTTTACCTCATGAAATGCACACAAAAACAAGTTCACTTCATGTAATAACCAACTTATCAATTCAGAAACCTCTACTAAGAATTATGTATAAACATTTAACAACTTCAAACAATGAACTCCCTTTCTTTCCAGTATAATTATGCCAACCAAACAATCATTCCCTAAATATATTTGATTAATATATTTAAGATTATTTGATTGAATCCATAACATGTTCTTTCTTTTCATAGTTTTATCTAACTGCTGTCAATGTTGTCCTTGTGTGCATTGCTTACCTTATTATTGCTGGTGGTGGGGGTGCAGATGTTTCAGGAGGCTTAAAAAGGATTATTCATCCTGTGACTTATCATAATATTATTTTATGTTACCACCTGGTATACATTAGTATACAAAAACAAATTATAAAAAAGTAAACTATTTCCTATTTATTTAACCTATAAAGTGAGATCATCCAAGGAAATTAGATGTACCATTATTTGTTATTTACCTTAAGAATATAAAATACAAAAATAGCACAGACTCAGTAAGAAAAATGAAAAAAATAAGTAAAAATTTAAAAAAAAAAAAAACTCTTAGAGAAGCTAGTAAAAAACAAACAAAAAACTAATAATTGTAAAAAGTCAGTATGCATGATTGTTAGCAAAAGAGCCAATACAAGGTGTAAGCTACACATTGGGGATGCCAAAATGAAATATGTTCAGAAAGTTAATAATCCCAGATTAGCATAGTAATAGATGATGGAAAATGTGATACAGAAATCTGAAGACACATGAATAGAAACTAAGGAAAATTTCAGGATATGAATTGCTATTATATATGACAGTGTATGCTGGACAATTTCCTCAGAGATGAAAAAGTGACTTGAAGCAACAGAAATGTGGTTCTAATGATAAACAGTGAGAATACCATAAGCAGAACATGTGGCAACAAAGTTTAAAGAAGTAAAGGAATTACAAGGAAACTTATACTTACAATCCAAAAGAGACAGTTGAAATTTCTGGGACATATAAAGAGGGAAAAAAACCTGGAGAATTTAACACTCACAAGACATACTGAAGCCAAGAGAGACAAGGGTAAATAGTAAGTAACCTACTTAACAAGTTTGTGTGAATGGATGGAAGAACAAATAGAAAGAGGAATAAGAAAGATTCAAGGACAATTGGTAATACAACTTCCTAGTCTTATTATCAATTGTCCCCAAGGATTACAGCATATAAAAAAAACATTTCCCAAATTGAACAATTAAAAAAAAAAAAAAAAGTTTTATCTGGAATTTTATAATTTTATTAGAAAATCATTTTCTTTGATTTCTTCTCAATCTTTTCTAATTTACCTGCACGCACAAACATGCACATATACAGGGTGCAATGGATAAAGTGCAGTCATTTTATATTTTTACTTTCATGCATATGCTTTGGGTTTTTTTATTTTTTGTTTATTTTGCTGACTTGCACAGCATAGTAGGGTCAGTTGTGAGAAAAAGAGGCACCATGATGCAATTCACTCCACAAGAAATTTGAAAACATCATGACTTTTGCGCCAAAAACTCCGATACGAACATTTTAGAGTATTTGAGTGCGAATCTGAAGACACTGTAGAGAATTCGGAAAGAGTTGGATGATATATCCAGTCAACATCATGGTGTTTAGAGTGATCACTAGTGATGGCGACATTATGCCTCCATTCATCTTCCACAGACACACACATAAACACATTCTATATACTGGGTGTAACAGCAAAATTATCCAAATCATGTAACAGCATAATTGTCCATCCCACAAAATGTTTAGTAAATAAAAAAAACACTAAACTAATTGAGTTTACTCTTTCCAGGTTTTTAGAGGATATGTTTAGCCATCTTGACACCATTTTTTGGTAAGAATAACTTTCAGTTGAGTTAAAAAGATCAATTAGGAAAGATCCAACTCAATCCATAAGACTGACAAGTGAGAGAGAAATTTCACCGATGACAGTCCAAAGAGCAGTGAAAAAGACTTGAAAATGAAATTGTACATGAAACCTGTGAGGCAACTTGTTACTCCAGGACAGAAGGTTAGAGGGCAATGATCATTTTGAATAAGTTGTAAAACGATCCTAGAATAATATATATATATATATATATATATATATATATATATATAAGCTTTTATATCAATCAAGTGTGTGTGTGTGTGTGTGTGTGTGTGTGTATAAAAAAGATAGGATAAAGAACAAGTAAGAAACAGATCTGAATCTAACGTGTTTCCCTTTATTAAAGCTTCAGAGATCAAGATAGAAAAAACTTTCTATCTTGATCTGACAAATAAAGGGAAACATGTTAGATTCAGATCTGTTTCTTACTTGTTCTTTATCCTATTATATATATATATATATATATATATATATATATATATATATATATTCAAATATATATAAACAAAAGGTTTGGTTAAATAATTTAAAAATACTATGTTTATTTTTTTTTCGAGCCTTTTGAATCCATGAATCAATTTCTTGGTATGCGTAAAAAACTGATTAAGAAAAATACCAAAATATATGAATTTGAAATTCATATAGAACAATAAAAAAATGCAGTAGAATGAACAGTAAAAATGTTTAGAATTTATAGAAATGCATATACACATACAATGTAATGAGACTGAAAGTACTTGGAAAAATAAAAATTATTTGAAAGAAGATATTGGTATTTTTCTTAATCAATTTTCTACAGCTATCAAGAAATTGATTCATGGACTCAAAAGAATTAAGACAAAAATAAAGAGACATAGTATGTCTAACTTATTTAACCAAACCTGTTTGAATGAAAATAGGCTGCCTATATATATATATATATATATATATATATATATATATATATAAGGGTGTGTGTGTGTATATATATATATTACAAATAGATGAATAGAGAACAAAGGAAAAAAATGATTTCTATTCCAAGGACATGTATTTGGGAAAACTCATTTAGAAAATAAATTTATTCACTCAGAAAAGATTAATGGTGGAGTCATTATTTATAATCCAAACTCATTAGATTCAATGAACAAATGAATTATATAACTTCACAAGCATTCTCATATATATCGCCTCACACTGATTCTTTATGTATACAAAACTATTCTCATAAAACTAAAGAAATCTTTTCACAAGTGGGTTATACATACACATATCAAAGGGAGGGCTGAAAAGGTCTATGTTGAGAGAGAGAGAGAAGAGGCAAAGAGAGAGAGAGAGAGAGAAGAGGCAAAGAGAGAGAGAGAGAAGAGGCAAAGAGAGAGAGAGAGAGAAGAGGCAAAGAGAGAGAGAGAGAAGAGGCAAAGAGAGAGAGAGAAGAGGCAAAGAGAGAGAGAAGAGGCAAAGAGAGAGAGAGAAGAGGCAAAGAGAGAAAGAGAGAGAGAAGAGGCAGAGAGAGAGAAGAGGCAGAGAGAGACAAGAGGCAGAGAGAGACAAGAGGCAGAGAGAGACAAGAGGCAGAGAGAGACAAGAGGCAGAGAGAAGAGGCAAAGAGAGACAAGAGGCAAAGAGAGACAAGAGGCAAAGAGAGACAAGAGGCAAAGAGAGACAAGAGGCAAAAGAGAGAGAGACAAAGAGAGAGACAAAGAAAGAGAGAGAGAGACAAGAGGAAAGAGAGAGAGAGAGACAAGAGGCAAAGAGAGAGAGACAAGAGGCAAAGAGAGACAAGAGGCAAAGAGAGACAAGAGGCAAAGAGAGACAAGAGGCAAAGAGAGACAAGAGGCAAAGAGAGACAAGAGGCAAAGAGAGAGAGACAAGAGACAATGAGGGAGAGGGAAGACAAAAAGAAAGAGAGAGAGAAAGACAAAAAGAAAAAAGAAAAAATTAAATAAAAAAAATCTGGTCATCTATTGCAAATTTGGTTAGGCCAAGAATTTTTCAACATCGACCTAATAAATATAGATATTACACACAAAAACACATACATACATATACATACATACACACATATATGCACACACATATACACCCCCACATATCAAAAAAAAATTTTATTACTCTACACACACATTTTTAAATGCATAGACAAACATGTTTCATTAATTTTTTTTTATTGAAATTTGTTTTCCAAACAAGTTTTCAAGTTGAAATTTTTCACTTCAAGCAATTATTTCCATTTTTATGATATTTCAAGATAAAATACATCTTTGAAGTATTAATGGCCAACAATAAAAAATAAGATTTTTATTCATTTGTAGAACTCAATTTTAACTTGTCTTCTAAAATTGAAATCATACTTATTCAGTATGATTTCAATTTTTGAACTGCCCAACGACTGATTTTGCATCTTATTACAACAGATTTCACAGATGCCAACTATGACAAATAAATGATAAACAGCTTAGTTTTAAGTTAAAATTACTTAAAGAGGACAAAATGTCAAATTCATATCTTCAATTAAATTAATGACATGAAAATGACCAACACTGTACTCTAAGAAAAAGTAACTATTTCAAACTATAAATTTTTTCAGATCATATATATATATATATATATATATATATATATATATATATATAGTACAGGTAATCAATCTGTTGGTATATAATCCGGGTGAACCCTAAAACTGATCCATAGAGGTCAATATATTTTATTATAACAGAGCATATGTATTTTTTACAGTGAAAAAGCAAAAATTACCTCAACATAGTAATCTATTTCCAGCTGTTCTGTCTCTGTTATATATATATATATATATATATATATATATGTGTGTGTGTGTGAGAGAGAGCCAAAGTGGACATTGAGGTCAACACCAAGTAGTGACAGTCTGTTTAATACTTCAACACAGTCCTCAGGCCATGAAGATTGTGTTCAAGTATGAAAGAAATTGGCATCACTTGGTGTTGACCTCAATTTCCACTTTCATATTTATATACGATCTGCCTCTGAGACTGAGATTTTTATCCATAAATCTATATTTTTATTCAGGGATTTATTTTCTACAGCTTATCAACTTTTGAAGGTTATTTAAAGCCGGAAAATTGTTTTATCATGTAAGACATTTTTGGAGATGATAATGATTTACTGATACAAGTTTTACTAATTAACAGAGTTGGGGGGTGGGAATGAGGATTCATACCTTTCCCAAAGGTATCTGCACTTTAAGTGAATATAACGAACCCAACTGGAATTAGAACTCAGCTCTCCAATTTCCACTTCCGAGCCATTATCCATTACACCATGCTTACAGTACCTGGTATTCCCAAGCAGTCAACCAATTATATATATATATATATATATATATATATATATATATATATATATATAGAGAGAGAGAGAGAGAGAGACAAGATTCTGTATGAGTATGAATCAAATTCTTACATATTAACATTAGTGCTATTCTACTGAAAATGTAGTGTTTGCTAACCCAATTATAAAGTTTAATTGTTTATTCTCATAAATATAACTTAAAGAGAAAAGAAAGTTTGGAGAATCGAATGCTCACAGGACATATTGAAGGCTAAAGTGGTAGAGAGAGACAGTGACCAACTTACCTAACACATTTGTTTAAATGGATGACAGAACAGGGACTGAGAGGGATATTAAGGGGACAAATATTACTTAGGACTACAAAAGAAAGGAAATTGTGGAGAGCCAATGTTCATTCACTTCATGAAGAGAGAAGGCACATAAAGAAAGATACAATTATTTAAGGCTGGCTGTCTTCTTATATTGGAAATTTAACAAGACCAAAATTTTGCCTGATAGCAAATTCAAGGATATTAGTTTGAATGTAAATGATGTAAATATCAGTAAATTTATTGAAGAAAATTTTGTAAAACAGAAAAGGTAGCTAAGCAATGAACTCCAATTAATTTCTTTCTTAAATTCAAATATGACTCACACAGCCTTGAAAGAAGAAACAAAAATATAATTTATATCAAACAATATGATTTACATTTGTTTAATATAAAAACATAAAAATAATGATCTACATAAATAGACTAATAAAGATAACAAAAGGTCAACAAAATCTAAGCTATACAATCTCATCTAAATAATAGAGAATTACTGAAATGAACTCGTCAAATAACTCCACCCAGGTGAGTGTAAAGATCTGATGCAATCAAGGATGGTTTAGTATTAACAAAAAAAGAAAAAAAAAGAAAAAACAGCATCCAACCCAATCTGCATTTCTTTTCTTTTTATTTGGTTAACAAAACGTGGAGATAATTGGAATGAAAAAGAATTTACTTTAAAATTTTCTCAATTTATTTTTTCAAACTCCATTTTCCATGTCTTAATTACTGATACTTCGGCACATGGCCGAGTGGTTAGAACATTCACATTCTGACCATAAGACTCTGGTTTGAATCTCATCATGGTCGATTCGTCAGGAAGGAGACTTCCTGATGTTATTGGAATGGATTAAGGTGGATCCCAACGTGTGGCACCTTTTGAAAATGCCTGAAAACCATTGACCCAAGCCTTGTGACTGAAACTGGGTAGACAGAACCCGGGGAGGGGGGGTATTGATAGCAGTGCTAGCACGAAGTCACTAGTCATCATGACCGAGGGCTTGAGCGTGCTGGCCTTGTTCAAATTGTTGATCACGCGAGATAGCACAGTCTTTCCCAGAAACTGTAACTAAGGTCCGCTCAGCATAGTTGCAGTATAAACAACAGGTGGGCTCTGTGGGTGTTGAATAAACACAAATGTGCCTGAGCAAGCGTCTGCAACAGGGATTGGCTAGCCGCCCTAGTAGACAGGTATCCTTGAATGTAAGTGGCCAGCTATATATAATTAATGATATTCCTATTAACTGAAAAACATGAACTGAACATCAATCCTTTCAATTTTAACAAAACTGAATGAATATTCATAGTGTCTTTACATCATAGAAGATATATATATATATATATATATATATATATATGTTTTATGATATGCTATATTTATGGATTAAAGTGCTCAGTGTCAGGGATAGAGCGCATGTAAATATAAAAGTGGACACTGAGGACAATAGCCAATGGTGACATTTTGTTTCATGCTTAAACTCAATCTTCAGGCTTGAAGATTACATTTAAGTATAAAACACTGTCGTCACTGGGTGTTGACTTCAGTGTCAACTTTATATATAGTAAAGGTAATAAATCTGTTGGTATATAATCCAAGTGGATCCTAGTTATAAAAAATATTAAAACTGATCCACAACAAAACTGTTTTTTTTTTGTTTTTTTTGGAGCTGTCACAGTTACATTTCCAATTCCAACATGAACTCAGTCTATACTGGGGTTGAATAAGACTGACAAAAATTTTTCATCTGTCGAACTAAGCCTATTCCCTATATGAGGTAATTTTGCATTTTACTGTGTACTAATTATTTGCTCTGTAATAATAAATACATTGAGCTCTTCTTGTGGATCAGTTTTTAATATTTTATATTACTATATTATTATTATTCTTTTTTTTTTCCCCAAACACAGTCAGCACATTGTGATTGTGTTTATAGTTGATATTGAGAGTTGAATTTTTCTTTTTTATTATTAATGCTTCCATTATTTTTTTTCATGTGGATGAGGCAGACCATGTTTGGCACAACAAAAAAAAATATCATTCATATCACTATACATACACACATATCAAATTTAGATATTCAGTTAATATATAGAAAAATATTTGTGAATATGAAAGGATTATGACAAAAACAAGCAGGCATAATATTTGTAATTTATTCAATCAGACGTTGCCTAAAAGAGAATTTGCTGCCTAAATACACACACACACTTCTGTTTCCTTTGTAGGTTTGATGAATTGGATTGTGATTACAATTCCAATGTAATAAATTATAACCATGAAATATTAGTGTTTGAGCCTTTTATATTATATTCTGTCTTGTACATAGAGCGCTACCTGGATTATATCCTCTTGGAAATTATATATATTACATGCACACCAAGGAGGTATTGAAAAGTTCTTGCCGTAACCCACTTCACCGAATATAAGTAAAAATTTACATTATTTTATGAAGGGTTTCTTCATCACAGGCTGAGAACATTTCAGCATTCTCATTCATATATGGACAATGTGAACATAGAAATCAAATCATGGTCTGATGATCACTTAAGGCAATAAACCGCCACTCACTATGCAGTGCCAATCTCCATGTCTACATCACCAAATGTTCCATCTATGATAATTAGTTCTTCCTAATAAATATAGTGTGTGTGTGTGTATATATATATATATATATATATATATATATATATTCTCACAGACAATTCCACCTGTTCAATCTTTCTAAAATACTTTCATGGAAATTGCTCCAGAACTGCATTGGCTGGTTCCCCAAACTTCATGAATTCAAGTCGCCCTGTAGGCTGGCATCCCGCTCTAACCCCTTCACTGTCCTATACCTCAACTCATAAATGTAGCAATCTCTTCTATTCTAATAGCTTCATGTCTTTATCATCTCGCCTTTGGAACTCTCTTCCATTCTCCTGTTTTCCTGAGAGTTATAATCTCCAGCTATTCAACTGTAATGTCAAAATTTAATGAAAAAACTTTAAATCTATCTACTTTTTATCCTTTCTTCTATCACTCCTATCTTATCTTCCTATTTTCTTAAAATTCAAACATAAAAAGTCCAATAGTAAATTTCAAATAAATGCTTAAAAAAAAAAAAATATATATATATATATATATATATATATATATATATATATATATTCTATTTCAGTTGAATTACATTCTAGTTCTACCATAAAAAGCATGCATGCAGCTTTTTATAAAAATAAAAACAGTCTGCCTAAGAAATTCCAAATTATTATTAATCCATTCTTAATTTGTTCTTAGATTAATAATTTATATGCATGAATTTTTCTGGTTTGTAAGTTATGATTTT